AAGAATAGAGACAACCACACCGACCTACCCACATCCACACCCACACACTCACACCCACACCCACACCCACCCACACCCACACCCACACCCACACCCTCACACCCACACCCTTAAACTGAAATATTGAAAATTACTAGGATACATGTTATAAACTGTTCTGCAATGTCTGTGCAAGAAAGATACTCGCAATTTATTTTTCTAAAAGCAATCAAATAAAGTATTCAATTATGATATTCAACAGTACTAAAGGTGTTACTTTATCTGAACTTTATGAAATATATATAAATATAACCTTTACATTTATAAAATATATATAAAGAAGCTCTTTATCTTTATGAAATAGAAGCACAAAAATTCTTTATATTTAAAAGAATAAATGGAAATCATAAGAAGAAACTAATAAAATAAAGCTTATCAGTGCAGTTGCTTTGGAGCTGAAATATGCAACTCACATATCCTTTTAAGTTGTTATCCTAATGCATTACTTGTAAACTAAAAAATACTTTTCTTTTCAAATAATTTTGAATGCATGAGAATATTATATTGAATATGAACCCTTTTGTGAGCAGTTGCTGAGGTCTGTAATGGGGTGGTGGGGGAGCCGGAAGACTCTAACCTTAAAACTTGCTCTCACTGTTTTCTTCCAAAACATATATGAGTTCCACAAAAGTGAAAGAATTTTTCTTATTTATGTTTATAATATAAAGAAAAACAAAGAATAAATAAATTTCTTTTATGAGAGCTTAATCCTTAATTTTTACGAAGTATTTTTCAGAAAGTTCAGATCCCATAAATGAAAGTGAAACATATAAAAAACGTATATTACATATATTTTTTCATGTATCTGCTTGGTTTTTTAATAATGGCATATATTTGAGTGATGCACATGTGAGGATTGAATATTGCTCTTCATAAACTTTTGGTATATGAGGTATTTGTTGATTTACCTGTCATAGAAAAAAAATCTTTCATTATTCTTTATTTTATAAATAAAAAAATTTTCATTACCTTTATTTTTTCAATAAAAAAGATTTCTTTTTATCATTTATATGTTAGTTTTCATATATAACGAATTTCTTTACTGTTGTTTTCTAAAGATAAAGACTTTATTTATACTTATCTTTTATTATAAACAAATGTAAACATAAAGTAATATCCATAAATTCTAGCATCTGTGACATTCTGTCAAATACTACATGAAATATATGAGGAAGCTGTAAGCTAACAAAACATTGGTACAACAACTTGTACAAGTTTTTTTTTTAAATATCTGTAACTGATAGGAAACATTATTTATCTGAATCGATATATTTTTCTTAATGGAGAAAGCAAACATCCCATTTCTACTGATCCAACTTCAGGTACAGTATCGTCAAAAATATTTTTGTGCTGACACAAAAGTCGATTTGATTTTTGATGTCTATTGCGAGTTTTTTTTATTTATTAAGGTGCGAAGCACTTTATAGTACGACGTCTCAAGTTTTCTTTGTATCTTTATTTATTTATTTATATTTAGCTAGACTATACGGATATTTTTCACGTTTTTAATCGCCCGTGATTTCGAGAACCAGAACTCAGAAAAACTAGAGTGTGAATTAATACTACAGAAACACTCACACCCACACCCGTGACTCAAAACTGCAGCATCAGTATAGAAATTGAGGAACCGAGGGTGCCCACCTATAACCGAGCTTTAGGGCCTATGAGTACCTCCTTAGTATGGGAGTCGAAGATCCAAAGATATAATTTATAAAGGCTGAGTCAAGAGTCTTGGTACTTCATAGAAAAATTTCTCTTTCTTTCTTGTTACTAATTTCAAAATCGCTCAAATTTAGGCATATAATACAATCCAAATAGGTGAATATTATTCTAAATTTTCATGGATATAGTCTAAGCTATAACAAAGATCCATAACCTATGACTGAGAGAAGATTTTTTCGTAGGACGTGATAAAGTAACATATGTTCTATAATGAATTGCCATGGTTGCATCTTATTTCGCAAACTTTAATATGTGTTATAGACAAAACAGAATATACCATAAGATGCAGCATGAAAAGCTCTACAATCTACAAAGTAAAGCTAATTCTAATGGTATACTTTTTCTTTTCAAAAAACGCAAAATTCAATGCAATCAGTATTCGACAGTACAAAGAAGGCTATTTTTGGTAGACTAATAATTCATTTTTCTCGAAATGTCGAAAATTACTGAATTTTGTATTTTTTGAAAAGAAAAAGTATACCATTAGAATTAGCTTTTCTTTGTAGATTAAAGAGCTTTTCATCCTGCATCTTATGATATATTCTGTTTTTTCTGTGACACACGTTAAAATTTACGAAATAAGATGCAAACATCGCATTTCATCATAGAACAGATGTTACTTTATCATGTCCTACGAAAAAAAATCTTCTCTCAGATATAGGATATGGATCTTTGTTATAGCTTAGACTATGCTCATGAAAATTTTAGGATAATATTCACCTAGTTGGATTGTATTATATGCCTAAATTTGAGCGCTTTTTTACCAAGACTTGGCTCATCATTTAGTAGAACATCTGGTGACAATGAAACCGTTATTAGTTACTGACAATAGGAAATTCTTACCCTTGCCCATATCTTGCATGAAAGTTTATAAGATTTTGAATGCTAAAATCTGCTCTTTCCCTCTTGAGTTATATACAATAAGATAATCATTTTTCTAGACAATAACTACGATACAATTCAATTAAAGTTCTTGTCAGTTACCATGATTATTATGGTTGCCATGTATAATTGCGTCATCTATTCTTATAACCTTCTTATTTTTTTACTCGAAGACTATATATATTTGAAAAAATAATTTTTTTGGTTAGAAAGCCCTACGAATTTTGCGACAAAAATTTTAGAATCTTTGTTTTAATAATTAGGTGTTCAGTGAATCATGAGTCACTAAACTACGAATAGGCATTAAAAACGTCATCAGTTACACGATGTCTAGTAATTACGAAAAACATTACAAAATTTGTTTTTTTCTTCATGATAACTTTCACTGTATTCTAGACTCTTTTTGCTAACAGTTCGACCTTGTTGTAGTCAATAAAACTTGTTTTTGTGCAGCGATGCATGTAAAAATCAATAATATGCATGCAAAAAAAAAAAATTTTAACTTTGAGAGCAATATGAAAATAATGACTCGAACTCTAATAATTGATGATATTCGATGTTTGTTTTGTGTGAAATTTCTGTTCGTCTTATTTCACTATGATCTTCTTCGATAAAAGAATACTCGTCTGTATCGAATATATTCTCCAAACATAACTTTCTGATCTAGTGATTCATCCTTCTCCTTTCGTCTCGATTAGATTTTTTTTCTTCGTTTCTCTTCACGTGGTTTTTACCAACAACAGTGGGAGGAATTCAACTTCTCACAATATATATATATCTGTACAGAGTTTCATATTTTGAAATTCAACCAAATTTACAGTTTAAATACAAATACTTAGGTTTTTGAGTTTCTCCATCCTTATCGTAAACGACTCTCATTGGTGAGTGGTGAGTATTCACATATCTGAAAATTTGATTTCGGATTTGACATACATTGAGATAAGCACTTATTCACTTCTTGTTACGTAGTGATTTTTATCCAAAAGCACAGAAATATATCATACTTTTGCATGAACAATCTACATGGAACTCTTTTTCAGGAAATTTTATATTCAATAATGGAGATTGACGCACTCTATCAAGCAGATGCAGGTTTGCTAACTACTGCATTTTCAGCAATAATGGGTTTACACTTGAGTAAAAATGTTTCCAATTCTGAAGAAGTACAGAAAGTTTCGTTGTTTGATCATCATAAAACAACATATTCATATGGTCGGATTGGTGGAACACCTGTTACTTCAACAGCGGGCAATCAATGTTTATTATTTATTAAGATGCTAAATGGTGCACTAATTGAATGTGAAGTAAAGTCAGGTACTGGTATTGAAGATATTAAAGCACGTATTCAGGAATTAGAAGGAATACCATCTGATCAACAACGTCTCTTATTTCGTGGAAAGCAGTTAGAGAATGGTAAAATCATGGATGATTATAATATAACTCCTGAATCTACAATTCATCTCGTAGCAAAGTTGCATGATACCAAACTAGTTATTCTTGATTCTGCAACTTTAGATCCAATACATAATTATGATTTTACAAATATAAACGATGGTGGCACAATATTTATGCGAGGTGGAGAGAGATATGTTCGTCCGTGTGGATTCAAACGATTTGCTCTCAATGTTTCTCATAAATATGAAAATTTACAATGGATAGGTTGCTATAATGGTGTAGGTGAATGGCCTGTATCATATCATGGAACAGGTGACGCTGAAAATAAAACGATTGCACAGGTTGGCTATGATTTAACACGAGGAAAACGATATGCATTTAATCATGGCGTCTACTCGACTCCAGATATACACTTAGCAGAAAAATATGCAAAAAAGTTTACTTATAACAAAGGACAATATATAGTTGTTTTTCAAAATCGTGTAAATCCTGCAAATTTGCTTAAATTGGGATCCAATCAAGTAGGAACAGGAGATTTTTGGGTTAGTCCAAGCGAAGCAGATGTACGTCCATATGGTATTTGCATTCGAAAAGTATAAAATGAAACTGTTTATTGATAAAGAAAAGATGAATTATACCATTTTATCTAGTACAAGGTGGATAAAAATATTCTCTCGGGGGAGTAACACTATTATTTCAAATGGAATACATAACTAATGTTATACCAAATTAAAGTGCGTCGAAAATGGGAGTTTTTTATACAAAATTGTAAGACTTATCAAAACTTTTTGATGTCGAACTTAAGAAATTTTATGCTTTTTTGACATAGAAAACAAAGGTGTCAGTGATTCAAAAATAAATTTTAGCATTTTCTTTTAATATTTTTATATGATTCGATAGAGCTCGTCGAGCCCTACAAAAATCTATATATTAAAAATTTTTCAGGACGTTTTCTAAGATAAAAAAAAATCAAAAGAACTACTTGGAGAGTGCTAAAAACTCATTCTTTTCATTTGAGAGACAAATACTCGATTTTTCAATAAAACTAGCTTTTTTTCATTATTTTCACTAACCGAGACGTTTCGAAACCTAACCATCAGATACAGCGTGAAAAACTGTCTATTGATTACATTTCAAACTGTCTCTGTTTGTGAAAATAATGAAAAAAAGCTATTTTTAGTGAAAAACCGAGTATTTGTCTATCAAATGAAAAAAATGAGTTTTTTAACAATTTTTAGTATTTTCCAAGTAGTTGTCGAATGATATAAAAACGTGAAAAGAAAATACTAAAATCCATTATTGAATCATTGACACCTTTGTTTTCTATCCCAAGAAAGCATAAAATTCTTAAGTTCGACATTAAAAAGTTTTGATAACTCTTACAATTTTGTATAAAAAAAATCCCATTTTTGACGCACTTTAATTTGATATAACATTAGTTATGTATGCCATTTGAAATAATAGTGTTACTCCCCTGGAAAAACATTTTTACCCACCCTGTATAAAATTCGAAACAAATAAATGTTCTATAAGGCCAAAGACTTGTGTCATTTTCTTTGTTATGAATAAATTCTAATGCAAAAATCACTAAGTATTTTTTTTTCGAAATTTTGAATGGAATTTTTTCTTCAATGAAGAGATTTTTCACAAAACTTGATCAAAAGTCATCAGGATCGATGTACCTCTATGGTTTATAGATCTTTTGAAATTTTGTCGGTAGAATACATGATTCTTGGAGAACAGCACGGAAAATAAAGTTGCAAGATTGAACACTAAACGCAAAAATAAGATTCTCGAAATAGTTTTGGTTCTGATCTGTACATGAATATCATCTGAAGAAAGACAATGCATTTAAAAGTATGAAGGAGAATTTTACTTAATCTTTCGTACAACACTAAAAAAGCGTAGAGTAAATAAAGAGTATTAGTTTTTTCTATAATCATTGCTTTAACGGAACCAACAGAAAACTCGGGGATAATCAGTATGGAATGGGTTACCTATATTCATCTATTTTCCTTGGTCTCTTCATTGGTTCACTGTATTATGTCTTTGTCAAACCATAGTTAATTTTTGAAGAAATATTACCACTTGAAATTATTAACACCATGATCACAGATGAAAAGATGTCATTAGTGGCATGATGTATTGAAAGACAAGACGCTGGATATAATCATGACTTGGCAAGAGTAAAATCACAGTGAGAGTATGTAACATAAAAGCAAGGTAATGTGACCGGATTATCATAATTAGGAGAGATCAAATGGTTTGGCATGATCAATACAGAATAAATAGTAGAAAAACAATTGACATTGATTAGACCATGAGCGGGTATAAATACTGATACAACTTCTCAAGTTAATCATGTTATTGACTTCATCGTAGCTGTTGTTGTAGCATTATCATCATTGAGAATATTTTTCGAGGTGTTTTTTCATCTTCTTTAGCTAGTAATCGATCTGACGTTATTGATATTTGTATGTACGCGTATTGAAATGACTTAAATGATATTAAAGCAATGCTAAAATACTGACTAGCATAGAATAGAGAGAAAAACGACACATGGCTGTATTATTGGCTTCTTGATGTCATGACGCTAAAGTTTGTAACATGCATGGACTCATTTTTCGAAAGTCTATACTCTCGAAATCCATTTTATTTCCATATCGTTCGATGTAATTTATACAATATTCTCTGACAAAGTTGCTCGAACACACTTCATGGAATATGCCGTTCAGATAAAGAAATTTTTGGTACTTAATGGACGTTGTTTTCTCAACTGACGGGAGAAGGAATCGGGAAGAATTGAAATGCGGCTGTTTGTTTTTGCCGAATCCAACATCAAAGGTCAAAAAAACACATTTTCAGATCATATTATAATTTCGGGGTGTGGATATCTTCGCATCAGACACACCCACCCCGTGTACACAGGTAGTTGCTGATATTTACGTAAGAAAATGGAAAAGCAAATTTGTGAAACAACAGAAACAACAAGGAGAGCTGTAGTTTCGATTTAGAGAAGATTATTTTCTCATTAGCAGATTGGCACCGGAACATACAGAAGGGACTCTAACAGAGCTAGGATAAACATATGTCAATTTACAAATTATATGCGAAGGCGAAAAAGCGGTCGAATATCTTGATATAAAAGTGATGGTTGAAGTTCCCATTTTTCAAACTACCATATTCCAAAAACTAGCTACACAAGCATATGTATTATCGTTCCACTCATCACATCCTCTTCATATCATCAAAAATATACCATACACAGGAACATGTATATGCTCTCATTCCGAAGACTTTAGTCGCGAGCTAGACCAGATAAGAATCATATTTCTATTGAATAAGTACCCTTCAGGATTCATCGATAAGTACATCGGATGTTTTTTCCAAGAACTAGCAGGAAGCCCAACACCGAAAGTACTTTTAGAAAAAGAGCCTTCAACCTTAATAGAAAGCACTAGACTTATCATGGAATAAAAAAGAAAAAAAGATTTCAATGACAAGATATAAGAGCATTTTTCATACACTCCATCCTTGCATAATTTCGGTTCACATTTTCATGTGATAAGGCAGCAAATATTTGAAGGAATTCCGCTCAACGACATCTTCGCAGTTTACGCCAACAGACTCACGGATAGTCTAAAACGTCTCCTAATACAAAAAAGCGATAAAGTTGTTTTCAACAAAAGATATTTAAATAAGAAAAAAAATCCTTTTTTTTTAAATAACTAATCCATTAGCAGCACTAACAAAAATATTTAAAAGGAATTTCGTACTAACAGATTTTCGTCAACGAAAAAGTGTTATCCCTTTATTGATATCAAATATCCAGTTAGGAGCTGACCTCTATTGTTTTGTGTTTTGTTTGTCTAGGGTGTGGGTGTGGGTGTGGGTGTAACCATATGATAGGTCAACATTCACACCGACACCCACCCACACACCCACACCCTTGGAATAACTCAAGAAAGGAAAGAGCTAGAGAGCTGCGGTTTTCACCAGTCGAAAGAAACGATACTAGGGCATCTTTTTCTCTAAAATTGTGTAAGACGAAATCATTTTAAAATCAATCATTTCTGAAAAAGATTGACAAAAAATCCATGAAAATGGTGTGTCGTTCCGATGAAATTTTGTTTTTGATATGTGATTTGGATAGAGGAACCCCAGATCTATAGCTTAAGATATAATTTGAATAATCGTCTTCACGCATTGTAATGTTAAGCAAATCAAATTCTTTATTTACTCCCTCGAAAAGTATGGATTTCTCTTCATTTTTGAGGAAAATTTTCTTACTTTTTGTGAAAATTTTATCTCAACAAAAGATAATTTTTGTGCCTTTTTTCGATGTTTTGTAAAAACGTTTGGTTTTAAAATGGTTTCGTCTTATAAAATATTGGAGAACAAGATGCCCTAGTGTTGTCTCTTTCGACTGGTGAAAACCGCAGCTCTCTAGCTCTTTCCTTTCTTGAGTTATTGCAAAAATGGCCACGATCATTATTTTTTTTAACAGACAATAGTCTATTGATTTTTCGGATGATCAAAGAGCAACAAATGATAAACTTGTCTTGTTGTCGAAGACTGCCGCAAGTATGTCTGCCACCGTCTTTGGATCAGGGCTC